ATAAAACTCACCTTTCGATACAATTGGGTAGTATATTAACATGTTTTTTAATTTCTTCCCACGTTTATTAGGTGTCTTAGAAGAAGAATTTGTTAAACGTCTGTTACAACCTGAGTTTCTTGAAGTCCTCATGAAGAATTACGATGAAATAAGCGTGTGGGAAAAGAAAAACGGAAAGAGTGTGAATCAGTCCCTAAGAGAATCTCTTGTGGAGAGCGTTGGTAAACCTATTGAAGATTTCTTCACGTAAGTGTCCACATGTACTTGGGCATGGATTAAGTCGTTCACTAAACGAATTTTTTTTATCCTAGCTAATCTATGATACAATATCCACGCCTTCAAACCTTCAGAGTGTTTTTTTTTTTTTTTTCGTTTTTCACCTGTATGGAAACTCTTACCTTCTCTTCTGAATTTTACAAATGAACACTTGTGATAAGATCGATCTTGTGTACTCCCAGAGAACACTGTAAAAAGATTGTGGTTATATTGAAGAGGTAGGCAAAGCGATCGCCTGGATATAGAACTAACTTTTAATATACCGAAGGTTTAGTGCTGTGTGCAGTTGCCGTGCACAACCCCTTTGCGCATGCGGATTCGTGTGGCTACGTAGTCACAACCTGAGACATTGGTCTGATCACCTCATTGTTTCATCTCCATTGTAGGTATCTTAGAAGAGATCATATGCAATATTGCGTCTCCAGTAACGTGTCCAGCGGTTTGGCCACGCTTCCTCTTCCCTACGTGTATGTCAACAATATCGCTGACAAGTCAAGACCAACGAACAGGTCGCTTCCAACTGGAGAACGGCTGAACGGTAAAGATTCTTATAAGCTGATTGTCTCCTATTTTACAACAAACACCATGTCCCCAAAGGAGATAAATGACTTAGGATTCAAGATGTTAAATGAACTTTATCCTCAGGTGGGTAGCGTAACATTATAGTTGGAAAAATAGTTTTGGAGGTTGGATTTTAAAGATTAGATCGAAAATAAAATAGGTGTTCAGGCGTGGTTGACATGCAATGAAAATATGAAGAAAGATTAGGAAAGTCAGTGTCAAAATGCATCCGCATTGGTGAGGGGGGCAGGAAATAATTAAAAGTTTGAGGGCGTTTTCGACGTAGCCTTTACATAAAAGAACAA